ACAATGCAAAAATATATTATATTTCTATTCTTTTCTTCTTCATACATTTCCATACACTTGCAAGAGTATAAGTCCTATATAAGGGCCAATAAGGGATAAGAGTTATAACTTATAAAGAATAAACACCAAATAAATGGAAGGTTACAAAGATTAATTTTCTTACTAATGAAGGGATTACAAGGAATCCTATTATCACCATCTAAATACGTGGCATTATGGGGGTGTTAATCACCATTGTAATTGCATGGAGGTAATGGAAGTTACACTATTATTTGGTTTGTAAATGCCATGAGAATGGGAGGATGAAGAAAGTGAGACATTCACAATAAATTGATTCATAACACTCTCTTTTGGATATTCATCTTTTATTATACGCTTCTTAAATTACTTTATTAAAAACCTTGCTAGGAAAAAAAAAAAAAAACCCAGTGGGAAAAATTACCTTAGCAAAGGAAAAAAAAGTATAGTGCATATAACACTCCCCCTGAATTCAATATATATTCATAATCAAGTAATTTATGCTAATTTAGTGTCTTAGCTGCTTAGCGTTCTAGAAGCCAATAATTTTGTGAAAAGAATTGGTTAACTTCTCACTTAAATAAATTTAATAAACATTATTTCATTATATATTTGGAATATTGATCCAAAAACATCACGTAATGACTGTGATTTTAATTCTACTTGGATCATCTCTTTTCATATTGGCCAATCATTTGTTCATCCACAATTTTCAATGAATTTAATCCAAGATCCTCATTTTCATTGACTATATCCATCACTATTACATACGCAAGAATTTCTTATCATTAATAATTTCATCTCGGTTCCATCCTCTTTTAAGAGAACTATAGAGATCTTATCACTGTATATAATTTCAACATTCTCATTATTTTCATGTACCTAAATGCTTTCTTAGGGTTATTTCATTAAGAACACTTTAACAATTTTATGAGTTCAACAGTACTAACATTCTACTTACACTTTCTCTTCATTTTTAGATATTTTCCTTAGAACTATTTGTTCTAACACGCTAGTGTATACTCATTTGCTATTATTTTAGCAACTTTCTCAAGAGGAATATCAACACAAGTAGGAGTACTTTAAGCTTAGATATATAATTTATTACTTTCATTTCATCAATAGATGCATCCATCAATCGATAGTATAGAATTTTGGAATTTCAATTTATATCGACTTATTCGAGAATCTTGGAAGATACATCTCAAGTTATCTCTTGCCTTCCCAACATTTATTTCTCTCCCCTTGATGCTAGGAATATGATTCCTTTAGATTAACAATCAACAAATTTTATTGTAAAAAAAATCCACAGTCAATCCATATAAACTCTAAGCCCTCTTTGGGATTATCAAGCCAGATATACTCTCAATGCAATGTGTCATATTGCTTAAGGGACTATTTGTCACCTTCATATTCAAGCATATAATAATGCTATAATATATCGAAATATATTTCAAATAATTGAGTATAGGCTTATATATCTCCTTGAAATCCAATATAACAATGAAGGAGATTATATTTCAATTGTATTTATAAAATAACAATGAAAGAGATTATATTTCAATTGTATTTATAAAATAACAATGAAAGAGATTATATTTCAATTGTATTTATAAGAGGCTTGGTAATCATGTTCTCAAGGGATGCAACACATGAAAAATCACTTGATAGCCAAGTTGCTTAGGCCCAAATCATTCTAGAATCAACCTTCTAGTTAACCCCCAATGTTTGATCCTATTAGATTTATGTATGTAAGTTAGAAGAGAAAGTTTTTCAAATATATGCCTTTTGGCTACATAAGAGATGTGACATAAGGGATGTGACATAAGGGGTATTTTGTACTATTCTCATTCATGGCAATAATATGATAACCATTATATGTTTGTACTCTTAAAGTTTAGTAGATTCCAATATAATTTACTAAAATGCAACTAGTCACATATTTAAAAATTTTGCTTCTCCAAGCTATAAGATTCAAGCATTTCAAGAGCTTTCAAAATCAAGCAATGTACAAGTTCTTTGGATTTTTTAATCAAGATTGTAATATGAAATATCACATTAGCTTCAAGCTAAGTGTAACTGGAAAAAGTTTTTTTCCAAGATATTTCATCATGGCACAGCTTTTTGCACATTGAAAAATGACACAAGTTTTGAAGTTTTATTCCACTGTTATACATTTCTACAATAGCTATGCATGCATGCCACATTTTGTTTATCATAGAGGCACCATTATACCTTCATTATGTGATAACAATGCTTTACACAATTTCAACTTTTCATCTTTGATTTCATCACTATAATAAATATGCTTTTTTTCAAAACATTTCTCCATCAATATGTGACCTCCATATTGAGAGATATTAGATGAGATTAATATGAATTTCAAAATTTTGGATTTAAATTCCCCATATGAGAAATGTTATTATAAAACTTATATTTATTTATAGATGCATTCTTGCATCTCATCTTCTCATTGGAAATGAATTCTTATTGAGGAGACTTGATTATAAAGAATTCTCTTTTTAATTCACAATCCCCACATCGGAATGTATATTTAATTTCTCAAATATTTAAGATACATTTCCTCAACATTCTCAAAATGGATATAATATATCCAAGTTTAAAATAAAATTATGTATCACAAATATCACAAATGCATATCCATAATATTATTTTCCACAAAAATGTTTTTGCACCTTTTCCTTTCTCATTGGGTAAAGTTTGGAATAAATCAAGCAAATACTTGGAGATAAATAAGCACATGAATTGCTTGGATATATTAAAGATATATGACCAATATTCATTCATGTCACATCTAAGAATTCTCAAATTCTTTGCCAATTTATTTTGCAAATCTTTTCATTTTTGCAGAGTCTCATTTCACAACAATATTCATAATAATGATTATAACGTGATGTCACATTCTCTATTAGGAATGGAATCAAACCAATGGTTGTGCTTGATGATTTTTCATCAATTCATAGTTTTGTTGGTAACAAGAAGACATATATTTATTTTAAATATACATGTTAAAATTAGTTTCTCGAGATTGCTAATTTTGGAGTATATTCAAGGCATGAAAAGAAGAATGCATCTTCTCTATTGTTTTCATCAATAATAAGTTTTCTCCGTATGAAACAATTTAAAATATTTATGAATTCATACTCGAATAATAAATGAATCCATTCATAGCTAGTTTTTTGAAACAATTGCAATTTTCTTTTAATAATCATCTTTCTTTCAAACAATTCCATGATTCCCACAAATCATTCACCATCAAATATTCATCTGTTAGCCCTTTTGAACTTCATAATGAAAAATATTATTTCATCACAATCCTTCAATGATGCCCTTTTCTTTAATGATGCCCTTTTCTTTAAGGATGCCCTTTTTTTCAAGAATATTTTTTTTCTTTAAGAGATACTTTATTTTCTTCTACAATTGAATCTTCAAGATTCATTGAAGTAAAATGAATTTTCACGTCAAGAGTTCATGACATAGTTGGAGCCCAATTTATCAAAGGCAATGAACTCAAATTTTTTGGCAATTGCATATAAACAATAAAATAGTTATAACACCATAGAATATTCAAATTGGAAAGCAAGAAATTGAAAGATTAGATTATCTCAAAATCTTACCTCAAAACTTTACCTCAACTTAGATTTTTACCTCAATTGGTTCATAATCTCAAATAGGATTCATGAATAGTAATTCATATAAAGGCAAGTCGTGCTGATAACATATTGTAAAATAAAAAAAGAATAAATTATAAGAAGAAAAAAAACTCAAAAGACAAAATGAAACAATGCAAAGATATATTATATTTCTATTCCTTTCTTCTCCATACATTTTCATACATTTGCAAGAGGACAAGCCCTACATATAAGGGTCAATAGGGGATAGGAGGTATAAGAAATAAACACCCACTAAATGGGAGATTATAAGAATTAATTTCCCTACTAATGAAAGAGTTACAAGAAATCTCATTATCACCATCTAAATGCATGGCATTATGGGGGTGGGGTGTTAATCACCATTTTAATTGCATGGAGGTAGTGGAAGTTACACCATTACTTGGTATGTAAATGCCATGAAAAATGGGAGGATGAAGAAGGTGAGACGTCCATAATGAATTGATTCATAACATATTTTTAATTGTTGTTATTATTTTTACATTTTGGTTTTTATGGTAAGGTTTTTTAAATATTGAATTGTAACTTTTTACTAAAACAGAAAGGACTACAATATTAAATTAACAAGTCTAATAGAATGTTTCCTAGTTATTGGAATTGATACCAAACACTCGAAGCTTTGTAGTTGGAGAGCCAATTTGACCCTTCAACCACCTGAGTTATAAAAGGTTTTACTAGTCTTATAGTATGTTTGGTATAATGGGAATATAGGAGAGGATTTTTTTATTAATAAAATAATAATACTTTTAAATATTGTAATATAATGAGTTAAAAAAAATTCCTTCTCTTTTCTTCCTCTCAAAGGTATGGGGAACAAGAGATGTAAAGGAATATAAATAAGGTGAAGTAAATTAATAATTTATATAATTTAGTGATAATTTTTTTTTAATGAAAATAAGAGATTATGAATTCATGTCACATGATAAATAAGGAAAATAAGTTAGGATATGAAAGAGAATTACCTCGTATACAATTTAAGATCTTTTTTATTTTTTTTTAAAAAAGGGAAATTTGAAGGTGTAGGCCCAAAGAGGGCAAAAAGTAAGACTGGACCATCAGGCCCAAAAGTAAGACTATTCTTTTCGAAGAACATTTATGATCACCGACTTAGATCGACAAATCCTGACCGTATATCTGGCTACCGAGAAGGGGGGACAAGCGGGACGGCCAAGATTAAAAGCACCAGTTCTCCCGCGAAAAAATCGACCCAAGTTTTCTGCCGCTATATTTGAAAACCTACCAAAAACGCAGTTCAACATGGGCCACGTAATCCGCCACGTAGATTCAACGTTCCAATCTCAACCTGCCACGTACTCCAAACCAGGTCTTGCTTAGCTGTCACGCACTCCCACAAATAGAAATCGAGCCTTTCCTTATTCGCGTCTCCGAAAAACCGGGTGTGAACGTAACCACCGTAAAGGTTCTTTGGTGCTATTTTTTAGGTGTTTTAGGTTTTTTTATATTATTTATATTTTATAAATTTAAATTTTTTAAAAAAAATTATATTTTTAAATATCTTTTTAATTT